GCCTGTTTTAGGATTTTAGCTCCTCTACAGTTTGGGGGTCTCCTTTGCCATATTTTTCTTTTCATGAATCACTAATGTTATAGGTAAGTTAGAAATCAGACTGAGGGCAGGCCGGTTTCATCTGCTACAGCCATGCTGTTGTAATGGGGGAAGAAAGTGGTTTGGCATTGTCTTGCTGAAAAATGCAAGGGGGCTCCCTGAAACAGACATTGTCTGAATGGTGACATATGTTTTTTCAAAATCTGTTTATACTCTTCAGTATTAGTTGTGCCTTCCCAGATGTGTAAGCTACCCACTTTCACATGGGCACTTCCACATCCCCATACCAATACTGATGCACTGATGACACACCAGGTGGCATCTCTCAGGTGGCAGCTTTTACTTCGCAAGCACCTTTTTGGAAAAGTTTTTGGAACTGCTGTTGTGAAAAGTCAAGTTTTCAATCCAAAATACGTCTTTAAACTTGTTAATCATTCATTAAGTTTATATCTTGATAATGTCAATATCCTGCAGACAATCCTGAGTTTAACCTCTTTTATTGGTATTTCAGTTTCTTCCTTGTGCTCTTCACATAGACAGCTCTTGTGTCTTATCAGACATATCCTTAAATGTCTTCGATGTCGTAAAGCTCACCTCAGTTCAACCCTATTTCCCCCTAAACGATACAACTAAATGATGAAATCAGATTTCACATACTTTGTACTCTCTATCTATCTCTCTTTCTTCCCCATGAGAGAAGCAGGAGAAGTAGTAGAAGAAGAAGAGTAGTAGTAGTGAGTGGTCTCCCAGCCTCTCTCTTTGATAAATAAACACTCTCTGGGCCTGAACCTTTTGCGTTGCGGCTGCTGTGTGACGGCTGAGTGCAGAGCGGTTCCGTATCTCTGCCTATAGCACATGCAGAACCTGGACGGACGGACAGGCAGCCATGCATGCACGGATGAACGGATGGATGGATGGAGTCACTGGGGAGACATGAAATGGAGGAATGGAGACAGCCGAGGAGGGGGAAGGAGGGAGAGAGAGCAGGAGTAGAGAAGCAGATGAAACAGAGAGAAAGAAGACGGTTTAAAGAGAAAGAAAAGAAAATCAGAGGTAAAGTGAAGAGTAGTGGAGATTAAGAGATGAAGGAGGATAGAGGGACACTGGGGAAAGGGAAAGAGGGGCTTGATTGGTTTTTGTTTGGAGGCCTGGACGGTGTGATGGCAGATATCTGCACAGCGCATGGTCATCTCACATGGTTTATTTATCCAAGGCCTCCAGACCAGGCCTCGGACCTCCCTGAGTTTGTTAGGCTTGAAGGGGCCCCCTACCATACAACCCAATTCCTCACATTCCACATTAGCTCCCATTTCCAGCTGCCTGTTTCCCTCCACCACACACAACCTGACCCAATCCAATCCAGCCCGACCCAGTCCAGTCCAGGAACGCTTGACCAGTTCCGGCACAGACCAAAGAATCAGGGTGGTCAGTGCCAGTCTGGAGACATGACCAAGGTTAGAGGAGTCTCTTGTCACCTCTGTCTGAACGAATGGAGATGGAGTTTTATCTTTTAACTTCTGTTTAAGGTGAAGAAGAAGTTTTCTTTTTTCCTAAATCAATAGATTAGTAGTTATACCCGACTTTATCAGGTTTTATTTCGTAGCTGTGTTAAATAGTTGACTCTTAATGAATGTTTTGTTTCATGATAACAAAGAGTTACGGGAGTCCAGAACATTTCACCTCTGCCTGTTGACACTGACAAAAATCAGCACCTAAATCCAAAAACTACATGAAGGATATCTTAAGTATAACCTCTAACTTATACAGAATGCACTAATTTTTCATCAGTTTCATCTTTAGGTCCCATTCACCATGTCAGGATTTCAGTCTGCTTTAACCACCCTCTTGCAATGCACCAAACGTTCATCGGAGCATCTTATGAAAACATTTACAAGTAAGTGTTCGTACTGCTCTAATCGAATGATTTCATTAATGAACTGAGCACACAAAATAGAGAGGAGGACACGAAGAGTCAAATAAGCGCATTATAATGACTAGACAGCTGATATAATTGAAGTAGAATAAAATTTCTATCAACTGGCCAGCTCTCCAACCGGAGACATGAAACTCTATTTTCAAAGCATACAAAACAACACAAAGCTGTGGTTTTTCATTGTCTATGTATAAATGATTCTGATATGGAGTGGAAGCATTCAAAATGCATGTTCATATCATTTTATTTCATCTTTTTGCTGGATATGGACCGTTTTTTTCCATTGTTTGTTGGCATACATGAAGCATTAATTGATTTTAGATTGTAAATCAGACCAAACAAGATGTCTAACAATTCAGCTTTGGATTTCAGAAACTCGTGATGGTTGTTTTACACTTTTGTTAGACAACTTAAAGAGAAGTTACTCGTAATATCATCAGAATTTTAATAATCTCTGGCTCAATATCTGATCCCAAAATCAGCTGAACTCATTTGAGTTGTTGTTGATTATGTTTATGAAAATTAAAAACGAAATAAGAACTGGGTTAAAGAAGGTGGTTCATTATTGTTGCACCACTATGTTGTAGAATTAACAAAAAACATATTCATTTTCTTCCTTATGATCAATCAGGTCAATATTTCAACTCACTGACAGATCACTTTCATGCCGCACCACATAAAAATGAACATCAACAGATATAATGACGCTCTTTTAAAACTCCTTAATTCCCAGTCAATATGATTACAAATTATAAACTTTAGCAACACCAAACATTAGCACTCTGTTTCTCCTGTTGACATAACAGTTCAATTGCAGTCTTTTGTGACATTTATTGAACCTTGTCTCAAACACAGCGACCATGAAGCTTCAACAGCTACAGCCAAACTACTTCACTTTAGCTTTTAATTGTTTAACAGTCACCCAAGGGCCCTTACATTAGCACCAAACATGTGACAAATGTTTCACACGGTGGCACAGGTTGCTACTTAAGCAGATAATGACTCATTACTGTTGTTAAATTGTGTTAGTTCGTCACCCTCATACTGTAGGTTGACTGAGTGGAGTTAAAGAGGGTGGTTATTAACTACTAAGACAGAGAAAGCTTTTTCCTGCTTTGAGAAATAAGAGAATCTTTTCTTCCATTGTGTGTCAAACCTCTAAAATCTGCATGGTAAGACATGGTAGCTTTTTCCAAAAAATCCCCTCAGAGATAAGGGTGTGAGGCTGAACCAGACAACTCAGAAGGGCCCATGAAATAGATGCATATGTGGAATAATTCCTACGCTCTTTTTAAAGGTGCTTTTACAGGGGCTAAAGGTGATATTTTCTAGGGTGTAAGAAGGCCTATCAACCTAACTTTAGAGCATGGCCACAAGAGTTGAGGTTACAGCTGTTAGTGCTAAAAACCTACACACATACTTCTTCTCACAGCTGCCTTCAACAAAATGCACTCACAGCAAAGAGTTGGGAGGATAAAAATGTCTTTTTGGGGTGTTCTGTAACAAATGTGAGGCTCAAAAACCTCTTCAAACATGAGATGTGAAGAAGAGATATGAGAAGTGTTGACAGATCTTACCCTTAAGGGATAGCATGCTTACATTCTTCTGAAAGGCTGGTTTTCTTTCTTCTTTCATTATTATTCCTTTTTTTGATTTTTGAAAAAATTAAGGCAAGAACTAACAAATGTACGGGTAATATCAATATAAGATATGTTTGATGGCTTCCAGTGGTGGAAAGTGATGAATTAAGATGACTGTAGTTGTGTAGTTTTTGTGTACTTGTACTTTTAAGAGTAGTTTTTGGAACAACTACTTGGACCATTACTCATTGAGTGATTTATTGATTGATTGAAGTTTATTTGAAGATAAAAATAATATAAATGATAATAATTATAAAGTAAAGAATACAACAACAAATGACAAAAAGTTATTCATGTTCAAAAAGGAGTGGGAAGAAGTCGAGACTTATCTAGTCCCAACCCTTATCCTACACTAATGGTTTAAATATATATCATAATATTATATAACAATATTAATCATTATAATAATAATAGCAATAAAATTAATAACCACAGTGAAAATGACAAACAACAACAAAACAATGATGATAATGATAATAGTTACTATGATCGTACATCCCTGTATCCCGTGAAAACATATTCTTTATATTTTGTTTTGAACTGTTTTATGTTTGGACATTGTCTTGACCCCTCATCCATACCATTCCACAGTGTTACCCCACAGAAAGAAATGTAAAATCATTTTCTGCTTGTGCGGATTTTATTGATTTTGAAGTTATACTTCCCTCATAATTGATAACCCATCTCTCGATCCCCAAACAAATTCTGTATATTTCGTCAAGTATCTTCTGTGTCTTCTTCTCAAGTATTGAACTTTGCTATATTGCATCAGTTACCAAGTAGAAAACCCTTTAAACATGCAAACTGTCTAACATGTAGCTGACTTAATTACTGAGATGAATAGAATAGAATTCAACTTTACTGTGATTGCACATGTCACAAGCACAGAGCAATGAAATGCAGTTTGCATCCATCCAGAAGTGCTTCGCAAGTATAAATATGTTTACAAATGTACACGGTATGAAAGAGATATACATGAGTATATCAGGGGTATATAACATTGTTATGAATATGCTATAACTATAACTATAAGTACGTACAGGCTGATTATACATATGGTTATAAATATAAAGGCTGTAAACAGACTATAAATATAAGTATTTGACAGATAAATTATACAGTAGTGCAATGTTGGATGTATTTACAGTTGTGCAAATGAGGTTTGAAAGGTTTTAAGTTGGTTTACAGAAAGTGCAGGTAATTGTAGATAATTGTAATGGGTGGTTCAGTGGTTGTTGGATGGTAAAATTATCAAATTTTACCAGTTGAATTAGTCTCATTTCTGCTTAAAATATCTTCTCCCCAAGCAAAATTATTCATAAACTTCTTCCTGTATATGTCCAAAGTCTAAAAAAAATTCACACATTAAAGTTGTTGGTAATGATGCAAAATTAGATTGGAAATTTGCATAATGGATATATCTTGTTCCATCCCTGTCACAACCTTGTGTAGCTAAGTTTAAGAAGCTATACATCTCAAGTAAAGTGCCAATTTTAAGTATATTAACAGACTTTTTCTTGAGTAAGTTGTAGTTAAAGTAATTGTACTATTACTTAAGTAGGACATTTAAGTTGAAACTCAGTCCACCACTGGTAACTTCTTACAAACTACAGGATTCAGGCCTCTGGGAATAATGATCACACAGCAAGTGAGGCGGGCTGTGCGCGTGAGGCGTGTGCGCATGTGCGTGTTTGCGTGTGATTGTGCGCGCGGCTGTGCAGAGTTTATTGAAAGAGTTCCTCTCGCCCTCCCCCCTCCTCCTCCTCCCTCCCTCCCTCCCTCCTCCTGCCTCCCCCCTCCCCTCTAGCCCAGGCAGCAGCAGCCTGGGTGGTCCCCCTCTCTCTCCACTTTGGTGAGCTGTTGCTTAGCAGCTAATAATAGGCGATGTTTGCAAAGTAATTTGCCTCTTCCTTGGCCAATGGGAGCCGGAGCACTTTTCCATCAAACCTCCCTTTTCAGGATTTGCCGAGAGGCGAACTTCTCCAAATGTTACCGCTACGGGACCGGAGTTAGACTTGACACGGACGGCTCAGACACGGGCTACTACTACTACTACTACTACTACGAGAACTACTACTACTCCTCTCTGAGACGTCGTTTCACAAACTCTCGGGACGAATGAAGACTGGAGGATCTTTACGGATTTGGGCGCATAATGTTGGGATGGAGTTTCGAGACTTATTTGGCTCCACGGAAGACTAGAAACCGTTCCTCTAACTTGTCGCCGGCTCTGCTGGATGCGCACCTCTTCTATGTTGGATTATTATTGTCGGTTTTAGTGAACTCGCACTCTTTCTCTATCGCTTCTCTGTTGTTCACCCTCTTTGGACTATGGCCTCGGATCGCGGGGTCCCAGGGTCCGGCGTCTATGGAGATTTACCCCCGAGTTATACGCGCTCCCAGCCGCCTGCGAACCCAGACCTCCTCCGGAGACCCAGCTACTGCCACGCTGCTTTCGCACTTAAACAGATCTCAAAGGTGATACAAAAGCTCGCAGTTTAAGAGTGGATTGACTTTGAAGACAGCTTTCATTCAGTCGTTTAACACGAGTTGGAAGTGTTGTGATTAAGCAGATATCTAAGCGTCAGTTTAGGACGCATGTGGGAATGTAGGGTAGCTCCCATTCTTGGTGTCCGGGGACCACCACAGCTCCCGGAGAGAGTCGACAGCAAATTCAGGGAAAAGTTTGGCTCAGCTGTTTGTCATTTAATAAGAACCTTAAGTAGATGCTTTATTAGAGACTGATGGAGACATCAGACATCTTCTGCCTTCGGCAGAAGTCAGATCTTCGATGACAGTTAAAACCCTTCGGAATAAAGCGATAACTACTTCTCGACTTCTCATACTTGGCAGCATGCACACCTTTGCTGTTTATTTGAATGGTCAGCAGGGTTTCATTCATTTCTTGTTGTTGTTAAAGCCACCAGGAGGAAGAGAGAGAAAGAGAGAGAGAGAGAGAGTTAGTAAGTAAGGGTCTGTTCCCATCTCCGCGCTGTGTTGTGCGTGTTTTGGCTTTGTGCAGGCAGCGGAGAGCGCACTGGCCCGGGGTCTGTTTGGAAATGTGGTGGGTCCCTGTAAAGGAATTCACTGATTGAGTTTGATCTGACAAAGCATCTTTGGACCGCCCGGATGCTTGGACGTGTTTCAGCACTGCAGAGAGAAACCACAACAGCAGGGCAATGTCTTCCGCAGCACTGACGTTTGCAGCACAGGGACTGAACACAGATCCTGAGATTTATGTGTAATACAGATATGGATAAGGATTAGATGAAACTGTATTTGTGACAAGCTTACTCTGCCATTGGGCTATGAGAATGGACACAATTTCACTTTCTAAACCTGTTGAAGTAAATGTTTATAATCGGCTTCACTCCAGTGTTGATATGTTGATTACAAAATCACTGAAGACATGATTCACTTTAGGAGTCTTTGATAAGAAACAGTTTGCTTTAAATCACAAACTGTGTCTTGAATTCATACTTTTTATGAAGTTGGTTGTTTTTGGATTATATGACACCGTTTTGTAGTCTTTTCTGGACCAAGCTTACAGCTTACTCCAACTGTTGCTACAATAAATTGTGCGGATAAATTCATCGTCAATGTAAGGCGACCTTGTCCTGGAGTCTATATAGAGTTTAGCTAATGTGTGTGAGGTTTTACTCTACAGGGACAGCACTGACATATTAGTGGGTAACCTTAACATCCCCATCTAAAGAGAGGGTTATCTCTACTGAAAGACACATCTCAATCCAGATGCACGTGACGTCAAGTGATCTTGGATGAAAGTTGTCACTTTGCAGCAACTTTTGACCAAATTTCCCATGCTTTGGACACAGAAAGAGATGAAGTTTGTGTAAAGATGTGTTGTTTTTGTTTCTTAATATACTAATGATTATAATCATACTGTCCTTTTCTCACCCTTCCTCCTGCTGTGGCTCAGGGGAAGGCGGTAGGTCAGAAAGCTCCTCTGTGGATCCGGGCCAGGTTCCAGGCCCTCCTGTTCTCTCTGGGCTGCCACATCCAGAGGCATTGTGGAAAGGTGCTCTTTATCGGACTCTTAGTGTTCGGGGCTCTGTCTGTTGGACTAAGAGTTGCTGCCATCGAAACGGACATCGAACAGCTATGGGTGGAAGGTGAGTTCAAGACATCTCTGAGCCTTTCCTCTGGTTTTGTCACACAAACACAACATCACTTGGACATCTTTCTAAAAGTGTTCTCTTTTCACCAACTTTGTGTTTTGGATGATTTGTAAATTTGCTTTACTTTATGTGAGTTTGAATGACGATGGTGTCTGGTGTGAAGATGCATGGCGGCCATGTTAGTGTCACCTCAGTGCCATGGGAGGGCACTAGGTGTTCAGCGACTGACTACTTGTCTGGATTAGATGTGAGGGAAGAGTCAGATTGGGTTGTGGGAGCTGGTTTGTGGTAGTTTTTGTCACTTTTCTGGAAGAAATTAAGATCACCTTTAGAAAACTAACACACCGCTTTGACTGTAAAAGGAGAGTAAAAGTTACTCACAGCTGTATTGATTTAGTTTGACTTCAAATTTCCTCGATGACTCTGCCTTAGCGGTGTATTTTTTTTCTTCTAAACTCAGAGTTTCTTGCTCATGTCTTGATCATTTACCTGAGAAACCAAAAGCACATGTGACACTACTACATAACAATCCTATCTCTCCCGCTTCTGTCACACAGAGACTCTGTTTTGTGCTTTTCTCACAGAGATTACCGTGTTTGTGATTCAAACCCTCTTTGCATTTGACACCACTCTTTTCTGTGCGTTTCTAGATGTAGGTTATCTGTACATTTTCAGCAGTACAGGCAGCTTTATTTGGTTTTTCACACTGGCCAAATTCCTTTTAAACCCCCAGGCTTTCAGTGCCGGGGCTGATCCCCGCAGCAGATGGACTGTGTGAATGGTTAGCCATCTTTGAGGGCTCTGACCCCTCCCCCCCTCAGCTCCCTGTGTGGTCCCTAACTATTCTTGGATTCCATTCAACAAGAGGCAAGCAGGCAGGCAGGCAAGCAGGCACCACCTCCCTGAAACCCCCCCACCCAACCTCCTTCTCCTCCTCCTCACAAGAAGAGAAAATATAAGTGAATGCAGCTGAAGTTTACCCACCTGTTTTGCACACTCTAAAAGCGCTACAGCAGTTGGTGAATATAAACAGACTCTATGGGGTTTTTTAAGCCCACCATGTCACACAGAGGACAGAGGGACAGGCGGCTCCCACAGGAGCTGTGTGTGAGTGTGGAGGTGTTGCAGGAATCAAACACACACACACACTTCTGGTGCCCGGAGGAATTTAAACCCAGATTGAGACACAGTTTAAGAAAATAATTTTGATTGTTTCTCTGGGATTATTAGGTTGTAGTCGCAAAAGCCTGAATTTGCAACAAAAGCGTTAAAATTTCCACAGTGTCCCCTTTTTTCTTTTGCTCACAGTCTGGTTAGTGTAAAAGCTTCAGGATTACCTCTCAAGCTAATTGGCGGATCCATCCCTTAAAGGAGATGTTTAGATGTTTGTGTGCCAGTTGTTTTGCTGTGGGATTCAGAGAGTTGAACGGGTTTGGGGGGGTGCTGAAAAGGAATGCTGTGCCTTTAAGAGGCCGTGGCCATGTTTCTAAAGTTTCTGCCTGCCTTGTTTCCACCAATAGCCCATTGACAAAGCTGCTAGGGCCTCAATGGAGAGTAAAGTGGTTCGGTAACAAGGAGAGGTTACTTCTCTCCCTCTGTCCCTCTCTCTCCCACACACACACACACACACACAAAAACAGAGGAACACACATACACTCTCATAAATAAGCCAAAAGAGGTCTCTAAAAGACACCTGATTTCAAAATTAATATCCTCCTTTTTGTTTTGGTAGAAAATACTTTCAAGGTTGTTTTTTTCTTGTTTGGCACATAATCTTAACAGGAAAAAAAAAATCTCATCCAGATTGTAGCATAAACAAACCTCTCCCTCATGTTTCCTAATTAGCTCAGAATAAACTAGCTGTGAATCGACACCGTATGTGTTAACACGGCCAACAGGGTGTAAGCTATGTGTGAATTTGTGTGTGTTAGGGGGCATATGCTTCCCATCATATATTCATACATCCCCCGTCCCACCTACACTCGCACCGACACGCACGCTTGTCATCTTTGCCACCTTCGGCGAGCGCAGCCTTCCTATAACCATCTGTCTGCCTGCCTGAATTTCCTGACTGCGTGCTCGTCTGTCTGCCTGCGCTTTTGTGTACGTCTGTTTATATTTCTACCTGTCTGTCTGCCTTTCTCTGTGAAGTCAGGCCACCAGGGCTTTTTTTTTAATTGCTTCCTCCCTCCTGCAGGACCAAAACAGTGAAGCAGAGCAGAGCACAGCAGCCTGGTGTGTGGAGAGAAAGTCTAAAGAGAGTAGAGAGGTTGATGAGGTTGTTTTTTGAGGATAAGAGAGCCTGTGTTTCATAGTGGTTGGATTTTACTCCTTATGTTTTTTTTGCTTTAAGGATTCTTGCGCAATCACGAGGAGGGCGAGTGACAAGAAAGTAAAAAGGGGTAATCATGCCTTCAGTGCTCACACCTGTGCTGAGAAGAATAAAAGCCTCAGTATCAGGGTGTTTAGTCTGACAAGAGGATTAAGGACTATTTGTGGCTTACAGCTCAGTCACAGGGAGAATCCGAGGCAGACATCAGCCATCAAAAATACCTTAAATTACTCACTCGGGTCTTATTTAGAAAGCAGACAGTGTTTTCTTTCCAGAGATAAAGATAACATTTCACAACAGTGACGAACACAATGCAGATGTTCTTCAGAGAATTCGTTAACTTCTTCGAAATTGTGTGTTTTGTAAACAGACCGAGTGCTATCCTTCATGTTTTATGCCCATAAGGCCACCTTGAGAGTGTGAAACTCGGTGTGAGCCAAGCAACGTGTGACTCAGTCTGTATTGTCCAAAAGCAAAAAGAGAAAGATCGTAAAAAAGAGGTACAGGAAGAAGAAGAAGAAGAAGAGGAGAGGATGAGAGGAGACGCTGGGGGTTGGGGCAGGAAGGTTTACGGCTAGCTGACACTTTTTTCTTGCCTGTGTTTTTGCCTGTCTCACTTGAACAAACATCAAGTGTGAGACTGTCCTGTGCGTGTTTTTCTTCGAGCACAAAGGACTGAAAGAGGGTGTTAGTCGCTTTAATCCAAGAAGAAGCTTTGATTTCACTCCCCTTCTTTTTTTGTTTTTATGTGTTTGGATAATTGCTGAAGTCCTGATTCTAACTGTGAGGCTTGGATTATTCCCCCCTGTCACAAAGGCCTGCTTGAAAAGAGAGGGAGAGAAATGGCCTCCATGTAAAAATGGTGGTGTTTACACTTACATTAACTAAACTCATCCTTCTTGGCAGAGTTTAGGTGAGGCATGACAGACATGTACACAGACTCAAGCTGTCCAAATACGAGCGCAGTGAGAAAAGGCCTATCCGGATAGCAGGCGCACCACATGTCCCATAAAGAGGCTGTGTAGAAAGAGAGGAGGGGGAGGTAAAGACCATACATAGTAACCATAGCATGAATGTTTAGAGACTGTATTGCTATCCTAGCAAGCTAGCAAGGGAATCAGACAAGGTCCTCCTCTGAGATACGAAGAATCAGATCATTAAAAGGCGGAGAAAGAGATCGCGGATAAGAGAAAACAGGTTTGAGTTTTTGCAAATGAGTGAATGCACACGTGGGCATTCGGGTGTTTGGAGCTGTTTCTCTAAACAAACCTCAGAGCGGCACAGCAGGTAAATGCTATAATTCATCGGAGCACACACAGTGGCCCAGTTCAGACAGAGAAAGAGAGCTCTATGAGGCATTATTGGAGGTGAATAGTGCGCGGTGGTGCCCCAGCTAGATAAATAAACTCCCAGCGCTCAGGGCCCAGGACCTCACTGGTAGAGAGAACAAACAAGACCAGAGTCAACCTGGGTCACTTCTAAATGTTTATTTCACCCCTCCTTCCCGTCATCCTTCAATCCAAGTCTCCTTCATTCCATCCCCTTTTTCAGCATCCCCCCCCCAAACACACTCACACTCACACACTTTGGACCACCCCCCAACAAATAAACACAGGTTGAGCAGCTATGGATACATGTGCATATGACAGACACATGGTTTTTGCTTCCCAGATGCAGGAATCACACAAATGGCTCAATATCTGTGTTTTTAGTGCAAATGTGCAAAATTTTGACCGTTTGCAACAGTGAATGCAATATTGAAAGAGACTGCAGAGCAACAGAAAACAGGATAATGAAAATTCAATCAATATAGTGAGGCACCCTTTCTTCCTTTGCTAAAGAGCAACCTTTGTCTTTGGTGTGAGCCAAATAAAGCGGCACCAGTCACCTTAGAGTTTGCACCATTTACCTCTGTCTTTACAGCGTGAAAGTATAAAAAAGTAAAGGGTGAGGAAGACTGAGAGAGGCTGAACATTTTCTTGGTACTTGGGAGGAAAAAAAAAGAAAATGGTTCTTGTGCTCAATAAATTCATTTCTGGTTTGAATGAGACCAGCAACGTGGAAAAATTTTGCCTTTCAGGGAGGGATGAATGTATGTTTCAACCACACATTAAGCAGTATTAGCGGTCAGTGAAGTGTCTAATGTGACTATTTTTCACAGTGGCCAACTCTGCCCATGATTAGCATAATTAGCAGAGGCAAGCCTATACATATGGAAATAGAAAGTGCCTAAATGCCAACCCTGGTGGAAATTTATGTGTGGTGGCTAACACCACTGGCACGTCTGAATAGATTGTAAGTGAAACTGATTTTCATGTTGTTTTTGCAGTTTTTACTACTTTGAGGTGTGATCTCAGGGTGCTTGTTTTTTTTTTTTTTTCTCTCTCTCTCTTTATTTTTTGAAGCGCTGGAAGCTGCAGCTCTCAAACTTTGTCATGGATCAATTTTATCTCCTCATTTTCACACATAAATTAGGACTTTCTCTTCTAAAATAATACAGCTGTCTTTGACGATTAATGAACAGATACAGCATACGAGCAGAGACAAAAAAACACACACACACTGTATTTCTATAGGTAAGATACCAAAGTGCCAGCTTCTCTTTCTTGCCCCCCAAGCCTCACCCTCCCACAGCCAACCCCGCCATTGTTTTACAGGCTGGGAAAGTGTTGGTCCATTTGCTTTTGTTGTTAAAAAAAGAGGAAAAAAAAGTTCCTTCTTTATTTTATTCTGCTGTTTGTTGGGAAACATCTGAAAGAAATAGAAGGGTTGAATGACAAAAAAAAGGGGTTGCATTCAGTCTGCGCTGAAGGATTGTATGGAGGACCGGCCCATCTGCCGGGGGCAGTCCGCTGTAGGCTGTGCCCTGGCTCGGGAACGCCATAGGGCAGGGCCGGGCTGATGAGGACCGTGATTCTGGTGGGTCCAGAGGTGACAAAAGGAGCGTGAGGGTTTTTTGAGATGGTGGGTGCTTGGCAAAGAGGAAGGATTTTTCATCTCCTTTGCTGAAAAACCAAAGAAAAAAGGAACAGAGTGAAAAGAGAGAAAAGTAAATGATGGATGGAAGATGTCAGCCAGGGGATAGCTATTTATCTCTTCTAACTCGACTTTATTGATCTGAGCTTTTCCCACAGAAACTCTGCCATCATCTCCTCTAACTTGTCCTAGCTTCATAGCTGCGCATATAGCAGGTAGGGGCATACATGTCACTTTCAGCCCTCTTGGTCTTGGGTCTTCCTCCATAGCAGCGTGGGGCCTTTCAGCGGCCCCCTAATCCAGCTAATCTACCACACTGAACTTTGAAGGTGGCCTGGTCTGACCTAGCATGGCCTGGAACTGGAACTAGGCCTGTAAGCCACGAAGACAGAATAGTGAAAAGAAGAATAGAATAAATTTGAAACACAGCACTTTAAAGGTGGCCTCGCCTACATCCCGGAGGCCAGATGTGAGAAGCCGCACATTTTTCACCGAGTTAGGGGATTCTGGGTGTTCGTCTCTTTTGGAAAGGAAGGGTCAGGTGGAGAGGAAATGAGTGAGGTTGGTGGAGACAGGGTCCAGTGTTTACACCGGTGTACCCACCCATCCATTCACACACACACTCAGAGGCAAATATGCTCCCACATTCATTCATGTGTTATATCGTATTCGAGCACCCACAGATGTGAGACCGTGCCTGTTTTGACATTTTCCATTTGCTTTCCACGTTCCCAACTTTGTAACTGTTGTGAAAGTCCTTTTTAGTGGTGAAGCTACTAAACGAACTCACGTGTTGCATCCCAAAAAAGCGGGGATGTTTCTCCAAAAAGGCATCCGCTGGAAAGAAATGGTGATGTAATTAGGAATGAGTTGTGCTCAATTGTGATAATATCTTTTTTTGGTTTTGATCATCTTGCCAAACCCTGATGAATATTTCATGCTTTTAAAATCGCTCGTGTAATAAAATGATCAGCCGCCGGTCGTGTCGAAACCCTGACTTCCACACTCAAAGGCGCTTTCTTCCCAGGGTGGAAAAAATTTCCGGGAACTGTCTCTTTAAGGCTGTGTGGAGCACAGGCAGAGTGCAGGGAGGGGGGGTAGGGGGAGTGAAAAGAGTGAGAAAAAGGGAGAAAAAGAGAATGACAAGGGAGGAAGAGGAAAAGAGCGACAAGAAGATAGGAAGAAAGAGATAAGTAAAGAAAGGATGAGGTTCCTGAGTGGTAGACCGAGCTGAGTTGAACTAAGCAGAGTAGCTGCGGAGCGCAGAGTTGGGTGGTTGGGGCCGGACCAGGGGTTGAGGAGAGAAGGCGAGAAAGAGAGAAGAGAGAGGACTGGCTGCCTGGGTGGTCCAGATGGGAGGAACGAGACACAAATAGCTATAATTTACTTCAGGAGGCCTGTAATTACAGAGCCAGAGTCTCTCCGAGCCACCCAGTTCCTGTTGGGATCAAAACCCCATGCTGCAGAGGTTAACATACGAAATGTCAAAAAAGGTTTAGCAGATGTCAAAGAGGTCCGTGTACGGAAAAGGTTTCATTTTGAAGTAGCACTTTTTTTTTGATTGGGAATCTGTGTTGGGAGGAAATTGATCGGGGTCGAGGAAAAGTGTTTTGTAAGAGCTGTTTTACACTAACCTGGATTTCCTGAATGCTCTCTGCCTGTTTCATGACAGATTGACAACAGTTCAGTAAAACTCAATTAGAATCAAGTTACTAGGAGTAGTAGTTTCTAAAAGTCTTAAAGATAACTACATCTACGTCTTTTCATGTCTCCCTCAGAACAAAAGCATCAAATAAAAGCATTTCGCATTTTTAGGGCTTTTTCTTGGATGAACTAAACGAGACACCTTGAAAAAAAAGACTCCCATGACGGAAAATAAACAAGGTGACCTTATATTCTGAAGCCCCTGTGTAGGTAATTAAAGCCTTGAAAGCAAAGCCTCGAAATATTGGAGCGTTTCTCCAAGGCCGTAAGTCCTAACCTGATCTCACACTTTCGCGGCGTAGGCTGAATAGTTTGTTTTTTCTTTTCTCCCCATCAATTATAAGAGCCTGCTCTGGGCTGGGGGGAGGTGCAGGGAGCAAGAGGGAAAGAGGAGAGACAGAGAGAGAGAGGAAAAAAAAAAAAGAAAGAGGGAGATGGACATAGAGAGTGAGAGAGAGAGAGGAAAGTGTGAGATGAAGAGGCTGTTCTAAGTTGAGAGAAAAATAGATTCTGCGAAGTGAAAGTGATACAAGGAGTAACAGGAGTTGAAATTAAGGAGATTCCAAACTTCGCCCACCTCCCTTTTTTTTCTCCCCTCCCCTCCCCTGCTTCTTTCTCCCACTCTCTCTCTCCCTCTCTGTGGTTGTCATGTAGTGGGACAGCAAGAGGGGCAGACGGGCCCTCTGTGATCCAGCGCGGCATGTTTCATGTCCACTTGGCACAGGCACAGATCCCCCCGGCTGGCAAACCCTTTTCAGGGCAACCTCCTGTAATTAGGGGGCTGGAGTCTACCGCACAGCACAACACAGCTCTCTCTCTCTCTCTCTCTCTCTCTCTCTCTCTATTTTCATTGCTTCTCTATCCCTTTTATGCTTGTTCATATTTATCCCTCTTTCAATCTATTTACCTTTTTTGATCTCCTTATCTTCCTTTAGCTTTTTAATGCCCCCACCCCCCAAAAAAAACCCTCTGACCTGGATAAGTTATAGCCGTACAAACTGCATCTCTTATCTTCTCAATTCAGAATATCTCTATCGATATCTGCTGCCCAGGACGGAGTGGCAGAGGGGTTTTGGGGGGGGCACCAGAGGCCTGGTTTTCCTAACTAACAGGGCACATCTGTTCTGCAGAAGGAGCCAATGAGAAGCCGTATTACTCATTTCACTTGGCCAGACACTGGCTTGTGTGAAGTTCCTTCAAAACCAACACTGGCGAGGGCCAAGGGCGTTGGTCGATATATGAGTGTGTGTGTTCTTGTATAAGTGTGTGCACTGCACATATATACACACAGTCCGCTTTGTTATAGGATCCAAATCCAAACGTGTGTGTATGAAAAGAAAAGTCTATCTATCTATCTATCTATCTATCTATCTATCTATCTATCTATCTATCTATCTATCTATCTATCTATCTATCTATCTATCTATCTATCTATCTATCTATCTATCTATTTTAAGAATTAAGTATAACTCGTCTTCTTTTCTTTGTTTTCCAGCTGGCAGTCGTGTAAGCACAGAGCTTCGTTACACCAGAGAGAAGCAGGGAGAAGAGTCAGTATTTACCTCACAGATGCTCATCCAGACCCCCAAAGAAGAGGGCACCAATATCCTTACCCAGGAGGCTTTGCTGGTTCACATGGAAGCCGCCCTGTCAGCTAGCAAGGTCCAGGTGTCGCTGTTCGGAAAGTAGGTGGACTTCATTTTTTTTGTGTGTGTCAAAGTTTAATCTGCTCATGCTTGACCTAAACCTCATTTTATCTTCTCTCTCTCTCTTATAGATCGTGGGATCTTAACAAAATATGCTATAAATCAGGAGTTCCTATCATAGAAAATGTCATGATTGAAAGGGTAAGTTCATGACGAATCTGAATTTCTGGCTCATCTGAGACAATTTTATCCCCGATCTGTGATGTTTGATCATTCTTCTTCTCTATTTCCTGATCCCAGATGATTGACAAGCTATTCCCCTGTATGATAATCACCCCACTGGACTGTTTTTGGGAAGGAGCCAAACTTCAAGGAGGCTCCGCCTACTTACCGTAAGTCTTTGAATAATAAGCTAGTTTTTAATTTTAGTATTTCTTCAAAAAAAACATTCATAGAGATTCTTGCCTCACTCTGCTGTCATTGCTTCCAACTTACCTGCATTGCTGACTTTAGCTTTTGGAGGGGGTCTGTACCCGTTTTACACACGCTCAATGGAGACATACAGTCGGGCATTGAGAAGTCAGTCAGTGGGTGCTGTGACTGACAGTGGTGGTTAGTAATAGAGTTCTTTTAGGGCCCAGTGAGGGACTGCAGGAGGGGAGGGATGGAGAGAGAGAGAGAGAGAGAGAGAGAGAGAGGACATGGCTGCTGGAGAAAACTGGGTGGTGGGTTGGTAGAACGGAGGACAGGGAGGCGGTGGCGGTGGAGTTGGTGGTGGTGGTGGCAGGGGAGCCCTTTGGGTCAGACAATGGTAAGCATTCTTTCAGTTTACGAGTGAGTGTCCATCAGTGCAGGGGCCCCGGAGGAGGGTGGGGGGGTGGGGGGCGGCTTTGTCAGCTCACGGCTAACACTCGGCATTCTCATGGTAATGCCCCGGGCTCCCAGCTCCCAAGTTGTCCAACAAATAAAATGGGCAGCATTCAAGCCTCAAGTCCCCCGAGAAAGACTGAGAGAGGCTACAAGACGGTTAACAGTGGAGTCTGGGCGTATTTGGGCATTTGCGGATTCAGGTTTTTTTTTTTTTTTTCAGGACAAAGTTCTCTTGAGAAATTGAGTCACTGAAAGAGAGCTTTTTTTGTCGTCAGAGGTGATATTTTAATTGAGTCCTCGGTTTATAAAAGATAGTTTAGCTCATAGCAGATGTTTCTTTGCAGACGACTTATTTGTTTATATTCATGTTGAGAGCCGACAGCTGTATGTTGCATGACAAGCCAGCACACACAGAAACAAACACAAGTTTCCCATCTCTAGCATCTCCCAGTTGGCTTGTGTAAAAGCCGAGCGACAGTGAGAGAGGGAGAAGGGGGTCTTTGATGATTCACACGTCTTCCAAGGATTCCTGTAAATCGCACAAAGTGTTCGGCATCTGTTGTTGTTTATCAAATGCCGTTTTTAACTCGCTTTTTCTCATGTGGAGAAGAGGGGGAACTTGTGGCGGTCACTGAGGCCTGTGTACCCAGAGTCAGCTTCCGCTTCATTTCAGCTCTGGTTTTAAATAAAAAAAAAAAAAAATCAGAGTGAGAAAGAGAGAGGGAGAGGGAGAGAGGCAAACTGGGTAAAAGAGTGAGGAAGAGTGAGTGAGGGAGAGAAAAAACTTAGGGGAACAAAGAGCAGCAATCTATGAAAAAACAAAAGGGCCCAGGCCCGGTTCACTCAAGCAAAAAGTGGCTGATAAAGGAGTGTGTCTTTGCGAGCAGCAGCAAAAGAGAGCCTGGTATGTGGGAATAGGAGAGCAGCGCTCTTCATGAGCCATTGGAGGCAGATTGAGATTCTTTTATTTCTCTCTCTTTCTGTCAGTCATTTCTTTTAAACTTCTTTTTTTAAAACCTTTACTGAAAAGAAGACTCCATCTTGAAAGTCCATCTTCGAATCATCCCAGTGTCATTTTCTTTTTCCTTTCCTCTGTGTGTAGAGAATAGAAAGTCAGAATAGTTCACTGACTTTCTTGAAATAGAAAGCTCATCTTTCAGGCGCATGTGGCGGCATATTCACTATTAAACTAACAACAACAGCATAAAGTGTGACGAATGATAAAAGTGTTTATTTTATTTGACCTCAATTTCAAGCGAGTTTGTCTAGCGTACTCTACGGTGAAAAATAACGCAAACGTTCCTCCACTGCTTCTCCTCACTCACTCACTCACTCACTCACTCACCTTTCTTCCTCCCAATCCTCCCACTTCCCTCCCTCCTTATCAAGATGTTTGGGGGGAAGAGGTAATCGTTATGACTCAATGCAGGACATTGAGGAATGGAAGTGAGCAGGCAGCCACTGTGCCTTTTCCCCGGGCATTGTGGCAGCGTGAAACAGGATAATAAACGCTATTTTATCCTGTATCTGCAGCTAGCCTCCTGTGTAGCCCAGTACAACGAGAGAGTGAGAAAGAAAGAAAGAGACAGAATCGAACTAAACTGAAGGAATTCCCCTCGTAAGCATTAGCAGGAATGTGGAACTTGTGGGAACAGAGTGATAAAAGTTATCTAACAGTTTTTTCTCTGAGTTAAAGTCCAATATGTTTCGTGTGATGCTTATTCTAAGTGTTGTTGTGCTCTGCAGGGGTATGCCAGACATCCAGTGGATGAATCTAGATCCAGTCAAGCTGATGGAGGAGCTGAGTCAGTTCACCTCACTGGAGGGATTCAAGGAGATGTTGGACAAAGCACAGGTAAGACAAACAGATACACTTTTAGAAATTGATTCACAGGTTTTATACTTTTGCAGTCTCTGAGACTTTTGTGGTGTCGTTCGATTCATCAGGTTGGACATGCCTACATGAACAGACCATGCCTTGACCCCTCCGACCCTGACTGCCCTCTTAGTGCACCCAACAAAGAGCAAGGAGAGGTAAAAATCCACATTTTAGGCTTTGTCGACTCAATATTTTAAAATATGACAGTAATAGTTACAAAAATAGAAGTAGTCCCCAACACCCCAGAATTTATCTGTCTGTTCCTGTGTTACTTGTCTATTCAGAGCCCAGACATTGCTGGGCATCTCCAGGGTGGTTGCCATGGTTTCAGCCGGAAGTTCATGCACTGGCAGGAGGAGCTGATCCTGGGAGGACGGGTGAAGAGCAGCCAGGATGCTCTGCTGAGGTGAGTGTTTATAAAATCACGTAAAGAAACATCAGGAGCGATTTCGCAGATGATGTTATTTTGTCTCATTGGAGGATGTAACATGCGACTGACGTTGGGACTGCTGGATCTGTGTAACCCCTAATAACCCAACACATGCATGACAGGAATGCCTCGTACAGAGAGGGATCAGTTTCCTGCGTGACCCTGGTCTAGGATAGGCCAATTAAAGATGATTGACAGACCCATAAAGCCCCCCCACTGAGTTACACATTTGTTTTGCATGACACCAAAGAAGTAGAAGATGTATGAGGAGGGCAAAAAATGTGAGATTCACGGGGCAAAAATCTTTGCACAGGACTTTCTGCAAAACTTTCTTTACTGTCATTGACTTCAACTGTATTTAAAAGCCAGTAGAAATAGAGAGACACCATGGGACCAAATCTCACATCATTACTCTTGCGGGTTCAAGATAATGAGAGAGGATTTCCATCCCACCTGCACAGGCCAGACTCACTCTCAGATGTGATTTATGATCATTCCTCTCACATTTTGTTCAGAGCTGCTGCTGCTGCTGCTGCTGCTCTTCTTTGACTCCGCCAAGAAAACCTGAAGACATTTAGGTTCATAGACGAGAGGCCAGCAGACAAGCCGGCTAGATAACACCTGCTTTTAGCTGTTTACACTGGCAGACAGACAGACAGACAGACAGACAGGCAGACAGATCCTAGAAGAAACAACACCTGCTTTTATCCATTCACAGAGAGACTCGTTCCTGTTGCCAAACCGGATCATTTTTAATGTGATAGTTGTAAAACGGAGGTTGTTACTGATCTTAACACACAATAAACCATGTTTGTCTGATTTTTTGGAGTGTCCTGAGTTTATGTTGGTGTGTTTTGCAGTGCGGAGGCTCTCCAAACTATGTTCCTGTTGATGAGTCCCAAGCAGCTGTACGAGCACTTTAAAGATGACTACGAGATCCACGACATCAACTGGAACGAGGAAAAGGCCACCGCCATCCTCGAGTCCTGGCAGAGGAAGTTTGTGGAGGTGTGGATGCACAAAAACACACATTTTAGACAAATTCAAACCCTCAAAAATGGAACAATGTAGCCTCAAAGAAAAATAGAGGAAGATGAGGAGGTATTTCCTCGTACCTATGTGGTCTTGTTTTTCTTTGGTGCGCACAAACACACACTGCATGGGACTTTTTCTGCTGCGTCTGAATTCCATCAGTCTTCAGCTCCCTTGTAAAGGGAATCACAGGGCACCCAAGGGCAGTAGGTGTGTGTATGCATCTTTGTTTGTGTGTGTGTGTATGTGTGTGTGTGTGTGTGGTAGACCAACCATCCCTCTCTGTCAGAGCCCTAGTTATAGGAACAAGCTGTTGCTGTGATAGCTGACACCCACTACGCTGAGGGTAAGGAGGGAGGGAGAAAGGAGAGAAGGGACATGTGTGTGAGGGAGGAGGGGGAACAAACTCAAAAGTTACCTGATAGAAACATGACACACTTCCTCCTGCCATATTAAAGAAGAGAAAAGAGAACTTAGAGAGAGATTTAATACACCCGCTTTATACTTGAAGGTAAACACCTTTGTGAAGCCCTGTGGTCCGTTCATGGCACAGAGGGGAGGGAGCCGTCTTTCTGGCCATGTGATCCCATCCCTTTGACCTTTGACCCCACAACCTCTGGCATCTGTGCTCATTACTCCTCAGTTGTCATACATACACACGCACTCACACACATGCTAACACATGTGGAAACACACACATCCTTACTCACTTTCACACACATGCTCATTTCAAAGGGACGGGTGTTTCTTTTTTTCTGTCAGAGATCTTGAAATGGGGAGTTGAAGGAGAAGATGCGTGTTCATTTGAATGTAAAGTGCAGCTTTGTCTAGGTTTAAATATGAAGACGATGTGGTATAGAACAGTGGTTCTCAAGTCCAGTCCTCGAGGCCCGCCGTCCTGCACACACCTGATTCGAATGATCAGCTCGTTATCAAGCTGGCTTACTAACGAGCTGATCATTTGAATCAGGTGTGACATTTCCTGTCACTCTGAAGTATAAAACTGGATTATTAATGGATATCTTTCCTTCAGGTGGTCCACCAGAGCATCCCGGATAACTCCAGCCAGTCCATCCATGCTTTCTCCACCACTACCCTCAATGACATCATGAAATCCTTCTCCGATGTCAGCGTCATCAGGGTGGCAGGAGGATACCTGTTAATGGTGAGCTCAAAAGTGGATTTGCTCCACAAATTATGGCTGAAAATACCTGATCGTATTGATATCTTACATGAGTGTCTCTTTTATTAGCTGGCCTATGCCTGTGTGACCATGCTGAGGTGGGACTGTGCCAAGTCCCAGGGGGCTGTGGGGCTCGCCGGGGTGCTGTTAGTGGCTCTCTCTGTGGCTGCAGGACTCGGTCTCTGCTCCCTGCTTGGCCTTTCCTTCAATGCTGCGACCACACAGGTACAAAACACAAAAAAATATATAACCCATAATCACTGTGTTATGTTTCTAAAATGAGGCTGATTTCTTTAATTGAAGGCAAAGATTTTAATGTCAGACACGTCTGTTTTCTGTCACAGGTGCTCCCCTTCTTGGCTCTCGGTATTGGTGTGGATGACATGTTTTTGTTGGCTCATTCCTTCACCGAGGCTGGAATTAACATCCCCTTTAAGGTACCTTTTGAGATACTTCCTCCTTCTCTCCCCTCCTTTTCTCCTTTCTCCTTCTTTTCGACACTTTTAACCTTTTTCGTCTCTATTTTCAGGAGCGAACAGGAGACTGTTTGCGGCGCACCGGCACCAGCGTGGCTCTGACTTCCATCAACAACATGATCGCATTTTTCATGGCCGCTCTCGTACCCATTCCTGCCTTGCGAGCTTTCTCTTTGCAGGTATGTTTTTCTACTCACACACACATGCACCCACTCACCCACATGTGCACATAAACACATGCACACAATCGCTCACCGAGAGGCCTGGGGCTCCTTTGAAAATGAAAGAGATAACTTAAGAGAGGTGACACTTATTCAGAGTGAGGAAGCCTTTGTTGCTAGTTTTATTGCCGCTGCACCTACGAGGCCAACTTTTCTTCCTGTGTGCATGTCCCTGCATGTGTACATGCACATAACGTGTGTTATGTGGAATAAATAGAGCAAAGAGTGATAAACAGACAGAAAGAGAGAGAGAGAGAGGGAGCAAGAGAGTGAGAGGGAGGGAGGAGTGGATCAGTATATCACTGGCCCGTCAAAGCGGTTTGCTCTGATCTGTGACTAACTGTGGGTGGTCTGAAAAGCACAAGCACACACACAAATACACACACGTAGACATACACAGAGTAGAAACCACAGCCAGTTAGAATGTCAGCTTCGGGGAATGGGGTGAGTGAAGGGTGATGGTTTTGCTCAGACTGCAAACATATATATTCCCTCCTTCTCTCTTTTTTCTTATAGTTCTTTTATTTGGTGTTTCTTTTCTTTCTTTCCCCTCTCTCCTTTTCTGGCTCACTCACTATTCCTGGCTGGTGATTTAGAGGAAGGCTTTCTCTACTTTTCTCGGCTGTGGTCTTAGAGGAAAGAAAAGGAGCCCTGACTCTCCCCAGCTGGAACACAGTGTCTGTAATTTCACATTATGTTCCCCTGTTTTTTCTCACTTCGCCTCTCTCTCTGTATTTTTTCTCCCCAGGCGGCCATTGTGGTCGTGTTCAACTTCGCCATGGTGCTGCTCATCTTCCCTGCCATCCTCAGTCTGGACCTCCACCGGCGTGAGGACAAGCGTTTGGACGTTCTTTGCTGCCTGTACAGCCCGTGCGCCGACCGCGTCATCCAACTGTCGCCACACGAGCTGTCGGACGCCGGGGAGCAGCCGCACACTCCCACGATGGCCTCGGCGCACATGCACCAGTACACAGGAGGGTCGACGATAACCACCAGCACCCAGATCACCACCACAGTACAGGCGTTCACACAGTGTGACGCAGCGGGGCAGCATATCGTCACCATCCTTCCACCTACGTCACAGATCTCCACCAGCCCGACATCCATCATCGTCTGCCCAACTTCACAGCCTCAAGGTAGAAATTTAAGAGATATTTGGTACAATGTGTATTGTAAAATCCTCACATTTGACCTTTGGCTTAATTTTTTTAGCTTGAGTGATAATTTTCTGTATATATTTCTTCCTTTCAGCCATCACTCCTTCCCCGACCACCACCTCTGTGCCTGACCCTTACGGCTCCCAGCTTTTCACCCCGACCTCCAGCTCCACGCGGGATCTCCTCGCCCAGGTTGAGGACTCCAAATCGGGAAAGAAGTGCGTCCCGTTCCCTTTTCTGCACTGGAACCTGTCAAGCTTCGCCAGGGAGAAATACGCCCCTCTGCTCCTCAAACCCAAAAGCAAAGCTATCGTGGTGATTTTCTTCCTGGGCCTCCTGGGTCTCAGCCTGTACGGGACCACCATGGTGCACGACGGTCTCTACCTGACCGACATCGTGCCGCGCGACACCAAGGAGTACGATTTCATCGACGCCCAGTTCAAGTATTTCTCCTTCTACAACATGTACCTAGTGACCATGGATGGGTTCGATTATGCGCGATCACAGAGACTGCTGATCCAGCTGCACAACGCCTTCAACTCTGTCAAATATGTGGTCCGAGACAGCGACGGAAAACTGCCCCGGATGTGGCTTCACTACTTCCAAGACTGGCTCAGAGGTACGAAATGAGATTTAGAGGTGTTATTTTTTATGAGTGAGTCAGGTAATAAGCACCTCTCCGTCTCCCCCGGGGTTTCTGATGATGGTGATGTCAGAATTGGGAGAGTGTGGAGCAGGTTTTTTCAGGTGTGAGGAAGTGTGTGTGTGTGTGTGCAGGAGAGAGAATGTGCAAAGGGTGAGTTAGAGTTCATTCATGCTTTTCCCCCCCATCCACCTGGGCTTAGGGGGTGGTGCAGGAGACAGGTTGGGGTCATAGGTTATCTGTGTGTGTGGGTGGGTGGGTGGATATGCGCATGTGTGTGTATGTGTGCCCTCAGGGGATGTCATGTCAGAGATGCATTCAAGAGGAAGTGACAGCGAACAGGTCAATCAGAGCCAGCTGCAAAAAAAAAAAAAAAAAAAAACAGATGGAAGAAATGAAAGAATGAAAGTGTTCCTATTTTCAACATGAGTGCCCACAGGAAAGCCCCGATAGTTTTGTGTAAAAGAAAATATAATATCTGTAAAAGACAACCACAGTAACTTTCTTTTGTGTGTGTGTTTAACCTCACACGTAGGTCTCCAGGCTGCGTTTGATGCTGACTGGCAGGCAGGCAGGATTACCCCTGACAGCTATCGTAACGGCACAGAGGACGGAGCTCTGGCGTACAAGCTCCTCATCCAGACCGGCTCCAAAAAAGAGCCTTTCAACTACAGCCAGGTATGTTCAAAAGCTATGAGAAACACTTTTCAGACGCAGTCCACCTGTCAAACCTTCAGCAATGTGTGTGGCATTACAGACAAGTGAACCACCAGCTGGTGTTTTAACATTTATTCTGATGAAGTATGAAAGATTCAAGCTTGACTCTCGGTTCATTTTTTTTCTAGCTGACTTCTCGTCATCTGGTGGATTCAGAGGGTTTGATCCCCCCAGAGGTGTTTTACATTTACCTGACAGTCTGGGTCAGTAATGATCCCCTGGGCTATGCTGCCTCTCAGGCCAATTTCTACCCACATCCAAGAGAGTGGATTCACGACAAGTACGACACTACCGGGGAGAATCTGCGCAGTAAGTACCTCCCACCTGATTTTTAAGCGAAGAATAAACCCAATAGATATCAGATATCAAATTTCACCTTTATACCTCCGCCTCCTCCTCCCCTGCAGTCCCAGCTGCAGAGCCCCTGGAGTTCGCCCAGTTCCCCTTCTACCTGAACGGTCTTCGCCAGGCCAGTGACTTTGTGGAGGCCATTGAGAGTGTGAGAGCCGTCTGCGACGAATTTAGCCGTCAGGGCGTCTTCAACTACCCCAACGGATACCCCTTCCTGTTCTGGGAGCAGTACATTGGCCTCAGACACTGGTTCCTGTTGGCCATCAGCGTCGTTCTGGCCTGCTCCTTCCTGGTCTGTGCGATCTTGCTGCTCAATCCCTGGACTGCTGGCATCATTGTAAGTCTACAAAAATCAAGTCCTCATCATCCTCACCCTTCTTCTTCCCCTCGCTCCTCTGCCGGTTTCTGTTGAACATTTTCCACCTCATGCTACCTCAACAACATCATTAGCCCCTTCCTCTCTCTCTCGCTCCCTCTCTTCTTCCCCTCACTTTCTTCTCACCCTCCTTAGCACAGCTCAATAACACTGTCTAGGGGGCCCCTTTCTCTCTGTGGAGGGCCAGTGCGCACACACACACATACAGGGACCTTTGTCATTCTAATGCAGGCTGGGCTGGCCTTAGAAAAGGAAATGCAAAGGAGCAAGAAAGGCTTTGCCCTCCTGAAGCCTCTACCTCTAACTCCCTCGCTGCTTTTGTGAGGGCGGGGGGAGAGGGAGAGACTTGGGGACAGGACGGATCTACCAAGTTGCGACCTTGGCCTGCTCAACCCATCCATCAGGGATATGTGTGAGTGTGTGAGGGAGTGAGAAAAAGAGAGAGAAAGCGATAGTCTGAGTGTTCACTGGTTGGAAAACATTTCACACACAAGCTGGTGGGACCGATGCTCCCAAAGGGCCCCCAAAACTCACTCACACATACACAAATCCACATCTCTGTAAATGCTGGTGGTGGTTGTGGTGGTGGGGGGGCTGCAGTATAGCGTAACAACAGTGCCAGTTTCACTTGGAATGTGTTTAATTTAAGCAGCACTGATTGAGACAGCAACACAACACAATCACTTTGGACAGAAAGAGAGAGAGCGAGAGAGCGAGGGTACATGCATGTACGGTTTCCAAGCATCAGCCCGCCTCTGAAGATTTCACCCGACCCGTATGTGGTCGAGCAGTAAAACGGCTTTTATCATTTCCAATTTAACCGTGCCTCGGCTCAGAGCCCCCGCTGAGATCAAAAGCTCCCTTTGGCCTGGAAAACCTTTTCTACTCCTTGTTTTTCAGACTCGTCATTGCTGTTTGTATTGCGGTTTACAGTACAGGAACTCCGTATTAGTAAGATGTTGCTTTTAAATATCGGAAACAGTAAAATAAGCAAACAGGCTAACTATGTCGTTAAACACACGAGGACTTTGTCCTCCAAAAATGGAGACAGATGTATGTAAATATGGTTGTTACAGAGGTGAACGCACGCTGTAGTATCAGGCGAGTGTCAATCATTTCCACTACCTCATAGAGCAGAAGGAGAAGAGGGGAAGGTATTAGCCTCAGGGTGGGTAATTTGATGCCATGTGGTTAAGATCCAGAGCACAGGGTCAAAGATTGTGTGAGGTGAAGAGGCAAAGAGCTCAGCATAGTCACTGAAGAAACACATGTTCACTTTTTGTCCACTCAGTTTTCTTCTTCTTGTAACCCACTTGTTTTTCTTGTTACCTTTATTATTTTTCATGCACCAGCAGATTAAAACGCTTCAGTTTTTTTTGACAACCTCTACCTGTCGTTCCTCCTCAGGTGTTCATCTTGGCTATGATGACCATAGAGCTGTTCGGCATCATGGGTCTGATCGGCATCAAGCTGAGCGCTATCCCTGTAGTCATCCTGATCGCATCAGTGGGGATCGGAGTGGAGTTCACTGTCCACATCGCACTGGTAAATCTGCACTCAGCAAACACACACACACACACACACACACACACACACACACACACATGGATTAGCTGTTAGGGAGGCTGAGCTCCTAATATTAAACACCTACTTAACTTGAAACCTGATACTTCGGTCTGACTGTTGAGTACTTTGTCAGTGTACTGCTAGTTTTATGTGTGTTTGCCTAAAGGAGAGAAGGGTTATATCCAAGCAGGAATATTATTTTCAATCACTAATCAAATGCAGTTTTGTTGTTGAAAGGATTTGTAATCAACAGTTAATAAATGCAATAAGCAGTAGTTTGTTGTTGAAACATTATTTTAACGTTCCGATCCCTGAGGTGTATCAATCCTGAAATAGAAGCGTTAAAGTTGAAAGACGATTTACAAGAAAGCTTGTGTAGCGCAGTGATCTCCTACAAAACCAAATGCAGGAATTGCGATGCGCGCCAAGCCTCGCCACAAGCACAAGTTCTGTGTGATCGGCAAGATTTCCAACTTATTCCTCCTCCTTGCTTCCCTCTGCTGCCGCAGGGCTTCCTGACAGCGATTGGCAACAGAAACAAGCGCTCGGCGGTGGCTCTGGAGCACATGTTCGCCCCAGTGGTCGACGGAGCGATTTCTACGCTGCTGGGCGTTCTGATGCTGGCAGGCTCTGAGTTTGACTTCATCATGAGGTGAGATGCTGTGCGTGTGTGTGTGAGTGAGTGCATTTGCAGAGTGACTATACACATAGAAAGCCATAGAAAGCCCGTTTGTTTCAAGAAGACGCAGTATCAACTGTGTGTGGTTTTTTCGTGTGTTTGTGTGTGTGGGAGGCCAGTTGTCCAGGCTCACTTGGGGATAGAAGGCAGCCTCGTGGGGGTCAGGGGTGCATGCAGGTGGAAATGTTATACCCCTATTTATGCACACACACACACACACACATACCCACACAAAGTGACAAATATGCACCTGGTTCTGTCACTCCGAGCACACACATATTCGGCTCCTCCACCACAGAGCACAACAAATGGGGAAAACATCAAGGGTGTGTAGCAGCTGCTCGTAAACATGGAAGTGTTCTGCTACCCACTGGGTGATGTGTCTCTCTCACACACACTTTCACACACACACACACACACACATACATACACAAGGAAATCTGTAAAAATTCCTATCATCCGTTTGGCATTCTCTCCCTCCATGTTGGGTGCCGTAATAAAAAGCAGAGCTAAATTTGAACTGGTCAGCGCGTCAGATGGTCTGAAGCCCACCAACAGACATCGCTCCTCTTTTCATGTGTGTGAGACGATGTGCATGTAAATCGTGCGTTCTTGTGTGTGTGTGTGTGTGTGTGTGTATATACGTGTGTTTTTTCGACCACTGTTTCATGGTCAGGGTGGAAAAAAAGGCGAATAGCTTGATGTTTTTCAACCCAATGTGGTCCGGGCCCAAACCCGAAACCACAACCTTGAGCTCACAGACTGCAACAGGCCTCCATGACATAAAAAGAGCAGCTTTCCCTGCAGAAACAGAGGCAGAGAGGAGAAAGAGGAGGAGACTGGCTCTGAGGGTGGCTTCTTTGCAAGGATATGAGCTCCTGGTGGGTGGGTAGATGGACGTCAGATGAACAGATTTTGTGTTCACTAAGAGAGGTGTAAATAAGACGAAATCGTGGGGAAGATTGGAATAAATTGGAGCGCGAATTCGAGAGACGAAAACAGACATGAGAAAAGGAGACAGAGGGGGGAAAGCATCTCTGTTGGAGGTCTTGTTTAACTCTAGCTGTAGCTGTGGTCGGCTGAATGGGGTAAGCCAGAGCTGGCTAGCTGGGGAGTAGCATAAATATACTGCCGTAAACATCTCCTGGCCTTGTAATGCACTGAATAAACAACAAGCTTAATTCAGCTCTGCTCACACACATGCGAACATGGCATGCACATGCACAGCCAACACACATATGGAAGAAATGCACATATGTACAGGCATGTAAACACATATGCATGCTTTCTCTCCTACACGCACACACACACACACACACACACACAAACGCACACATGGCTCCTCAGGCCCTGACAACGAATGGAAAAGATTACAGTTTATATAAACAACAGAATTCCTCACAGTGAGACACTGTTGGAGGTCCTACTGACGTCTCACTCCCCCTCTTTACTTCTTTATCCAATGTAAGGATGCTGCGGTGTGGATTTCAAGTACAATTAGCATGAAATTTGGAGTCAATTTTATGCCATAAGAAAAAAATTATGACCTATTTATGTTTTTAAATTCTGCGTGTGGTTTAAAGACCGTCAAGTTTGAGCAGACGGCATAAAGAGAAAAAAAATAGTCTGAAGCGTTTTGTCAAAATTGGTTTGTTTGACACGCATTTACACTCTGATAAAGGAAGAAAACAAGAGCGGCCATAAAAGAGGGAAAGTACAAACATGCCAGAGACAGTAGGGAGGAGAAATGAGTGTAAATAATGTGGTGAAATCACACCCACTATACATGCATGCCATGATATTTTTTCCTGGAGAGAGAAAGAGAGAGAGAGAGAGAGAGACCTCTGTCAAATGCAGTAGTCGTAAGTGTCATTATAGGAGTCCATTCAGAGGTCAGGGGTGTGCTTCCAGCTATTATTCCTGTCCTTCTTGTTTTTTCTCTTCATTCCAGCAGTCTTTTTTTTCTTACCTCTTAAAGTCTGGCTGGTGGTTAACATCTTACTGTCTCTCTCTCTCTTTTTCTGCTTTCTGTTAGTGTTTAAGTGGAGTCCTCTCTAATTTTCTTGTGGAGCTCTTTCTTGTGGCCTGCCTCCACCCCCTGGCCTCCTTGGAGCTCTGCTGCGATGCACGCACATACACACGCGAAAAGAAACAGAGAGAATACACACAAACACGCCGTGTGGGTGAAAAAAAAAAGAGAGTGAGAGAAAAGTCGTGTAGCTGCAGCAGCAGAGGCATCAAAGCATGTTTTAGTTGGACTGAGCTGGGAATCAGATTTGCCCCCCTCTGCCTTTGATACACAAACACTGGGCTTTCCCTGACTTCTTCCCCTGAGCTACTTCCCCTCCTCGTGTGCCAACTATGTGTGTGTATGGAGGCGTGCATACACGTGTATTCCCGTCAACATAAAATATCACGCCACTCTTCCCTAGAATTCTGTTATTCCTACAGGAAAAAATGTCAACTTATTTTAAAAAAAAGGCGCCTTAACAACCTTGGACTTCTGCTAAATCTTTTAACCTAAAAAAGAAAATAAGATTAGATGCCTAATTGCGCTGTATGAGTTTGCAAGTTCTGTATGACCACTGAGATGCTAATAGCAATTAGCCGCAGCTATTAGCCAACAAGAATAAAAAGATGTTTCTAACTGACTTTGTCCCTCCATCCTTCAGGTATTTCTTTGCTGTGTTGGCCATCCTGACTGTTTTGGGGATGCTGAACGGCTTGGTTCTCCTGCCTGTTCTCCTCTCCATGATGGGCCCTCCAGCTGAGGTCACGCCAGTCGACAACGCCAGCCGCCTGCCCACACCCTCTCCTGAACCGCCTCTGCCCCCGCCGTTGACTCACCACGGCTACTACACGAGCCACCATAACCCACGGTCGTCTCACCAGCAGGCTTTTTCGGAGTCATCGGACTCTGAGTATTACTCGGAGGTGACCACCACATCAGGGATCGGCGAGGAGGAGTATAAGTACTGTGACAGAAGCTCGTATATTGCATCGCACACTAGCGCTCCACCTCCAACATCTCACATACTGCTGGAAGCCAGCAAGAACCCCAGCTTCCCCAAGCTAACGGTATGTCACAGAGTCAGAAGATTAGGTGGATAGTTTTTTTTTGAGTCCATGTGTTCAAGTCAAAGTAAACCATGATGTTGTGTTTCTTTTAGGTGGTGAAGCCATTCAGAGAGAACGCAACAGGCACTGGTGGGAGGATAGAACCAGTAAACGAATCCTCCCACATTGCACAGTCACCTCTCGGCTCTCAGCTTACCTGCTGGGATGGAAACAAGCGGGAGACACACCAGGGTTCCCAGAGGCTCCAGGGACCCCCCAGCCAACATTTACCCAGTGACAGAGCTCACTTCCCTGGGAGGACTAGTCAAAGCGGTCCCAGGCACAACGGCAGAGGGCCTCAGCCAAACAGGACTAAAGGGCCAAGCTATAGTCATAGCAACTCTGCCCTGCCAACTCAACAGAGCTCTGCTGGGGGACCCGTTACCATGGTAACAGCCACAGCTTCTGTGACAGTGGCTGTGCATCCAACCTTGCCAGGGGCAGCTTACCAAGGCTACATGCATGAAGGTTTTGACACGGATAGTGAGTCGGACTGTTTTGAGGCTGCTAAGAGGACTTGTGGTGACAAAACAAACTTTTCTTCATGTAAGAGAGACTCTCTAGAGCTCCAGGACTTGGAGGCAACACAGAGCCAGGCGGAGCATCAGCACAGCAAGACACAAGGTGATTAAGCAACTAGTACAGCCTGACTTTGGTCTCATTATAGGCGTGTTAAAAGCCAACTATCCACCAATAACAAGTGAAGAGATACATGAATTTCTAGCCCAAGTTTCACCGTTTGTCAATGTCTCACCCTTTTCCCTCGTCTCTGTTTCTCTGCTGCAGGTGCGTTGAGGATCCAGGCACCCAAAGATTGCTAGACTCTCACACATCCCTGCCTTCTTGCTGCCTTCTCCATGGCTGCTTCACAGAGCACCTTGACGGCCAACACGGCCCTACATCACGTCTTGAACTCTCGTTGTACATAGACTTTACACAAAACGGAGAGGATTTATTTCAAGAACATATTAGGAAAAAGAAAAAAGGCATTTTAAGAATTATATAAATCTATGAGTATATATTTTAATACTAAAAAAAGAAGGAAGCTATTTAAAAGAGTACTGTATAACTTGGGTATACTCTTGTTTAAAAGTGCAGATGTTTTGTTTTTTTTTCTGTGTTTTGTGGGGCAGTTGTTGTTCTTTTCGCTCCACATACTGTATAGAATAAGAAATGTCCCATATGTAAAAAGTGTCCAGAAAAAGTGAGATGTTATTAAGATATTAGGCTATTGAACATATGTGTCAGTGTTTTATTTCTATTTGTTTTTATTTCTTTTAATTCATTTTTTGCTGCTACACTTCAAAATAATTTTAAGTGATTTGCCTTAAAAAATGCAGTACCCCCCCTCTTCCCCCCCTCTGGTTTTTCGTCAGTGTAACTTTGTGCACAGTATTATACTGTGAGATATTCTGCACCTGACACACGCTCTGTTGTATTATAAGTGTAGATGTCTCTGTGCACTGTAAGAATAGCAGAGAATTACACAACAAGTACTGTTTTTGTGACAGTAGTAACCGTCGTGCCTTTGACTTGTCCCCCTTTCTGTGTTGTCACAGTGTTCAGAGCTCAGTATTAAGTTCTCCATTTGTCAAGAAGCAGTAACAGACTGATGTTTTATTTGTTTTTTCATATTTACCATCAACTGCTCACCTTAAATGTTATTCTGGGTGTCCTGTTGTCCTCTGCAGTTTGAAACTACTTGAAGGAGCTGTGATCAGATTTTTTTTTTTCCTGCAGTTTTTGTAAGCTCTACAGTGGGTGAAGTTCAAAGTTGCCACTTTGTGTTCAACGATTGCTCACCTCCTTGTTTTATTTTGAAAGGGAATTCTAAAATCCAATGCAAAGGGAGTGATTATACAATGTTTTATTACTTTTCAGCATTTTCCTCTTTCTTCGCTGGCTGCTTGGGGGTTAAAACACATTCAAGTTGTTGTTGCCCTGTACAAATATTGCCTTATTCTTTAAACTGGTTCAGTCTAGTTCCACCCGCTCGCACTCACTTTCTAATTTCTCATTCTCCTTGCTAATACAAACCTCATATGCCTTTCTTTGGTAGGACTTTCATGTAATTTGCTTTAATACATTTCTGTTGTTTTTTTTATTGTTGTTGTTGTTGTTCAGTATTGGTCTCATCACTGCCAGGTTAAATTGCAGGGAAAAATTGCAGATCTATTTTCTAATGTCATTTTTTTTTTTAAAGTGGCAGCTTCGGTTTCTTTTGTAAATATGAAAGAAAAGTTAAGTAGCTACTGTGCAGTTGTGAATTTTTAAAGAAAATGCAAGCACCATTTACAGTTTTTAACAGACCACAGACAGCCGCAAGGTGTTGTCAGACAGTGGTGAGGAGTTTAAAGGGAGTTTGGGGGGGGTTGGGGGGGGGCTCCTGCATTGGTTTGTAGTTTATTACAAGAGAAATTGTTAATGTCATGCCATATAAATTATTTATATTAAAAATTTATTTTTGTAGTTTGTACAGATGTTAGTATTTAGACTGAAGTTCTATTTTTAAAGAGTGAATATATATTATATATAAATATATCTATTTGTTGCCAAGTTTGTTTTGTTTGCATTTTGGGATGGGGAGGGCGGGGCTTGGGTTTGTGGGAGGGAGGGGTTGACAACACTTTAGAGCAGAGGCATTTTTTCAGTGGAGCAGAAGGGGGACAGTTTTGGGGGGACTATGGAGGAGAAGGTGTGTAGGGTTGTGTCACTGTTACACCTTGTTCTTAAGATTCCTCTTGGCCCTCCCTTCTTTGTTGTCATTTTAAAAGAAATGTCTTGTCCATGTCTAAAACACTGTGACTTCTGAAAACTATGCTCAAGATTTAAAAAAAAAAACCCTTGTGTGACCGATATGTTCCCTCACCTGCTATAGAAATCTAACTAACAAAATAAATTGAATGAAAAGAGTGATTCTGTGGTTTGCACCTGTTTTTTTTCATTGTGTGATTGTGTTTGACCCTGAAGAGAAACAAAGAGTAGGTGCTGTTGTCACAGTGCCGGGCAGTAAACTAACTCGTGTTTGCTGGTTAAATAGACTAGATCTGTTTTCATTGTGCATTGTTGAAGAGTCAACAAAAGATCTGGTTTCAGTATGTTGAAGTTTTAGATTCAAAAGCACAATTAAATCTATTCTGAGTTGATTTGTAGGCCTCAAAGTCTGTGTTACCACTAATCCAGGTGGATGCTAAATATACAGACTCTTAGAAGATCTTTCATCTGCTTTTATTCAGAAAGATTGAGATGTTAAAATTCACAATACAAATCCCAATTTATGCACATGCAAAAAAACAAAGTCTGCTGTGTCTTCGCCATCAGTACCTCAGTTTGGGCTGAGGTACTGATGGTAAACACGCGCCCTAATAACATCCATTCACTTTTTTGCTTCATCTAATCATATCTGGGTTGTCTAAGATAGTATAGAGATGTTTAAAAAAACAAGCGGCCTGCTGTGACACAGTCCATTCAACTGAGTTAAATTTTTCCCTCTTTCTCCTCTTTGCCAACAGTCAATTACAGCAACAATACGATACAATACAATACACTGTACTTTATTGCCCCATCGGGGGAATTGGTCTTGGACCCCATTACTGTACATGCTCAACTGCAACAGGATCAAGGGGTGGGGTGCATGATTTTGCAGAGGTTACAACTCACTGCAAGAAGGTTCCTGGTTCAAACTCTGGCCGGAGCCTTTCAGTGTGGAATTTGTAAACTTATCCCACGCACCTGTGGGTTCCCTCCATGTACCCTGGTTCCCTCCTAGAGTCCAAAAACACACTTGTTAGGTTCACTGGTAACTTTAAGTTTCTGATAGTTGTGTCAGTGTGTCAATATGTCAGTACTGAAGGTTGGCAACCTGTCCAGAGGGGCACCCTGCCTCCTACGCTAATGACTCACAAAGTTTGGAGCTGGATGAACTTGCTAGTCACGTCAAAGTCAGGGTTTGTATCATCGGCATGTTGTGCAACAGCAGGGCAAACATCATGCAGCCACATGTGGATAGAGAAGAGCTGGGTAGCACTTCCAGGGAGAGGAGGAGGAGGGGCAAATGTGAGCGTTAGTGGAGCAGAGGGACAGAGAGAGCACTGGAGATCACTGTCATTTCTAGACCAAACAATGAGAGACTTTAGTCCATATAATGAGAGACTGTGCCAAACCAGTGCTGATTGTAAAGGGATATTCCGGGGTAAAATTAATTTAGGGTCAAACACACCGTAACACCGTGCTAAACACCCATTTGAGAGATGAATGTTGCTGACCGCTTGCTTCTCTAGTTATACCAACTTTAGTAATGGCCGCACAATAGCAATACACAGCGATCTGAGGAGCCATAAACAAACCTCAACCAAAAAGCCACTTTGCCTGATTTCTTTAGCAAAAAGACTAAACATAACTCACTTACTCTCTTCCAGCAGCCGCTTGTTTGTAGCGAGACCTTGGGCCAGTCCATTACAGACTACAGTGGGGTGACACAGCTCAAGGAAGAACATTTATGATCATTTCTTCATGGAAATGCAATCATGCCGAGACACTGAAGAACTACCGTGTCTGTGGTGCAAAATGATTAACGTGGTGATTATTACTTTAAGGAATGATAAAGTAATGATCATAAATGTTCTTCCTTGAGCTGCGTCACCCCCGCTGTAGTCCGTAATGAACTGGCCCGAAGTCTCGCTACAAACAAGCAGCTGCTGGAAGAGAGTAGGTGAATTGTGTTTAGTCTCTTTGCTAAAGGAATTAGGCAAAGTATAAAAGATGTTTGATGGCTAGTGCTGTGGCTGGGACCCTATATGTACTGTTGATGAAGTTAGGTCCTGTTCTGAGCATTATTTGTGGCTATAGAGTGGCGTTTTGGTTGAGGTTTGTGTGTGGCTCCTCAGACCGCTGTGTATTGCGATCCTGCAGTGGTTACTAAAGTTAGTAAAAGTAGAGAAGCAAGCAGTCAGCAACATTCATCTCTCAAATGGGTGTTTAGCTCTGTGTTACGGTGTGTTTGACCCTTAATTAATTTTACCCCGGAATATCCCTTTAATATCAATGTCAAGTAATGTCACTGTGATAACGAATTTCACACTAATCAAGCCACCCTCCTTCAGTTAGGCTTTCACTGTTCAGTTTCTTTTTGACATTGCAACACCAACTGAAGTTATAGCCTAGTATATCACATCACATCTTCAGGACTGCAGCAATATGTCAAAATACCGTACTGTCGTATGACTTTCATGTTGTGTAAGATATCTCATCAAAACAAGCTTGAACTTAGTTAGAAGCCTGATATTAATGGGTTGAGTTGAGCCCCAGATTTAGTTTGACTTCTTTGTGCCTGTGGTGGGTGTTGCTCAGCTTCCTGTGAGTCACCTGGGTTAAGAAACCATCCCTCAAAGTGCGTAACCTTACCAGCTGTATTGTCACATTCCTGCTTGTTTAATAAGTTTATTTAATCGGCTGACAGATGCAGAAGTTTGACAGTATGTGTTTTCTTATGACAGTGTTTAAACAATTCCACTTCATGAACAATGAATTGACTCAGACAACCACTGAACCAGAGCGCTGAACCACCTGGAGAGGGTCTGGGATCACTGGCTTCCTAGATCATTGTTGTGACTCGTCTGTCTAAATCTCCACCATTGAAAAGGTAGACACACACACACAGACAGACACACATACACACACGCTTTTGCACACACACTCAAACTGTGTTCACAAAAAAATAAAAAATATGACCAACATCGTTATGAGCTCTGTGTAAGCTTTGAAACTGAACACAAAACAACAAGCATACCTGCGTGCACAATCCCATGCCTCCTCATGCTAAATACTCCAGCACAAACACACATACACACACACGGGCATACACGCACACAGGCCCACCTGTGTAGATGAAAGGTAGATGCTGTAAATTCCTTTGCTTCTCACACAACAGCTCCTAGTTTGTCAGCCCAAGCAGGGCAGCCCACGTCTGAATCTGATACCTCTGTCTTTTGAAGTCACTGTCATGCACGTCCACCTCTCAGCCAGACCTCCCCCTACACACTCACACACACTCACACACACTTAAGGAGAGCTTACAAACAATGTTCATACCTGGCGAAACAAATTTAACTTTAATTTAATTCTTCAAGTAATTGAACACACACACACACACAAGCAGATCGACTCACTTTGAAAATGGGTCTTCATCCAAGTGTGGTTGTTGTACTTAATGTTACACCTCAGTGACAAGGGAATGAATGCATGCCACCCATTTAGTCTCACAAGCACTAAAAGTGTCGATTAGGTAAATACAGATTGTTTTCAGACTCGATTTCCCAGCTATGAGCAGCAAGAAAAGAAGGAAAATGATGAAAGAAAAATAAGAAAATACATTTAACAGAGGCGATTTAGGTGTGTCTCTCTAATCACGGAGCCTGCGTACCACATCCTAACAGTTAAAATACTTGAGTCAATTTATGTGGTTGTCATACAGAAACATTTTAATTTAAGAGTACACTGAGGCAAGACATTAAAGTTCTTCAGCACCCATTCATTTTCCGCTAAATGTCCTGGGTGACATTAATGAAATAATAGAAAGCAAATGTGATGTCACAGGCTGGTTTCAATAGATTTAACCCACAAACACACACACACACACACACTCTCTCTCTCTCTCTCTCTCTCTCTCTCTCTCTCTCTCTTTCTCACTAACACATACCTTTGGTGTATTTAGTTTTACTGCAAGATAGACGACTGAGTTTTCCTTTTTGTTTTTGTTTTGCAGATGATATTCAGATTAACAATGAATAAAAAAAACTTTAAACCAACAGTTGTGGGTTTAAAATTTAAGGAAGCAGTGTTACGCTACATATCTGACTCTGACCTGCATATGAATGTTTTCCACCTTTAAAAAAAAGGATGCTGGTTGGAATCAGAAGTACTATTGGTTGAAAAAACATATTGATATTATTATAGGCCTGGAGATCCTGTTACATTGATCCTGTTACACTGCCTCATGACTATTGACAAATGCAAAAGTACTCCACTAGCCAGATATTAACAACCACAGATGACAGATGGCATCTAAGTTTGTTGTGCTTTACATATTATTGGACACTCTTTAAAATAATTAAAGGATTGCTTCATGGAAACATTTTTTGAAAACACATAGATTTAGAGGTGGGGTAAGAATTCATCTGCATATAATTAGGTGTGAGAGATAAAAGTGGAACATAAGGGTTAATACGTCTAAGCTTAAAACTGATACGAGAGCAATGGATGTAACTGTGGCATTAGTGTGTGTCTGTGTGTGTGTGTGTGTCAACCCAGATAGCAGCTGATAGTCTAGATTAGTCGATCTCCCAGTGCCAACTCCTGACCTGTGTGTGAAGGTGAGATCAATAGAGGAAAAGAAAACACAGAGGTGGAACAAAAGACTGAACTCGTGATCTGGTGATGCTAGTGTTAGTGTGAATGCATGTGTGTGTGTGTGTGTGTGAGTGTGTGTGTGTGCACACTGCTTGGGTGGCCCAAGGATGAGCGCCCATTGTTGCTGGAATTCAATAGGGCTGATTAGTAAAGAAAAGTGTGTGTGCGTGTGCGCGTGTGTATGTGTGTGTGCGTGCTGTGTAAAAACATGCACTGGCATGCGTGTCTGTGTGAAGCAGGGGGTGGTGTATGTGTTTGTACTTTAGCACTAAGCGCAGCAGAGAAGAATGGAGGAATTAGCTGTAAAGCCAGTGAGAAAGCAGACTTCAGGGTGACATACCACACAAATCTGGGGAGTGGGGATTGTGTCTCTCATCATGCAAAGGAACGTTTAGTTTCAGTGCGAAAACTAGAGCTCTATGAGGAAAATTGAATTTCAGAAGTACCTGATGAAGAATTTTTAAAGTAAAAATGAGACCCACAAAAGCCTTTTAGTTGTTCTCTTATCTGATATAGCACTGTTACTGGGTTTTGAAGTACCTTTGAAGTGTCCCATTTCAAAACTTTCTTAGCACATTTGTAACCTCTGTTTTTCCTCATCTTTTGAATATAACTTGATGAGATGATTTATGTTCCTTGTTTCAGTGCAGGCATCTGGCTGCTCTTCAAATCAGCCTTTGTGCTATTTGAGCCTACTTTAACCATAGCCTGTAATTACAACTTCATTTAATCACTGCTGTATTCTTGTTATACCATTACTTTTTCCACTAATTTTCACTTTATTCTGAGAATATTAAAACTTAAAAGGATATTAATGTCATACTACTCTGACAATAATTTTCTACAACTCGATTCTGGTTATATGCTCCACTTTTATCTTGAAACCTAATCCTCTGTCTTAAATAAAAGTACAGCTTGAATGTTAATTCAAAGGCACTGCCACCACAAAAGTCCTGAACTCTGCATCTTGGATGACAATCATGTTGTCGAAAAGTTAAAACATGCTAAATTGTGATACTAAGATGTATAACCCTCAAAGCCCAAGCCTCGATGGGGCCCTGAGCAAAATTAGATTTTGGGGCCCTCTATTTCTGCCAATAATATTGATTGTTGATCATTCACACACCCTCACATATCTCTTTGATTAACGTTCCATGTTACGCAAACACACCTTTATCTCTGCGTTTTTTCTCTCCTTCCTCTTTCTTTTCTCTGCTCCTGAACTATATGTCCTTTTTTGCGACATTGTTTTGCCCCACATTGCACAGCAGAAGGCACATAACGGTAGCAGAGCTTTGACATATCGGCAGTAAGAATCATAGGCCTACATCAGCGCAGTACTAAAATGTGTTTACTTGATTTTATTTCATTTTTTACAATAATATATATATATATATATATATATATATATATATGATCATACAGAAAGCATCACTCATGCATGCAAAAAATAAAAAATATTTAATTATTATTTTTTGGATTGCTCTTGGGGCCCCCTATTGGCAGTGGGGCCCTTAGCCGGCGCTTAGGCTATGTTCGCACTGCAGGTCAATTCCGATTTTTTAACCATATGTGACACATATCTGATTTTTTCATGTAAATGTGAACAGTGCAATTCTGATTTTTTCAAATCCGACCCAGGCCTCTTTTGTATGTGGATTTGAATCGGATTTGTATCCAATGTGACTGCAGTGTGGACGCTCAGGTCGCATTCATCTGATCTATACGTCATCAAAATGTGACAAATGTCACCATTGTTCGACAACACAAACAGGCGCTGAAAGCAATTTGTGCTTTGAGCGCATGCAGGTCACTTCACAGACGCATTCCGTTCACATTAGAACGTTGTTGTAATGTGAACGACCGCACAAAAAAATCGGATTTAACAAAACATCCAAATTGTGCATCATAACCTGCAGTGTGAACGTAGCCTTAGTTCGCATATGCCTTG